TTGTACCACAAAGCGTAATCCAACTCTCAATTTGACAAGGCATTTGTATGCAAAATAAGGACTTGATCTCTCTAGTTCATAGTTTTATTGGAAAAAAAAATGGTGTAGGTATATAAGAACATGTAAGAAAGTACTAATGGTGTGTTTATTTTTGAGAGAGGGAAAGAGAAGTTTAACTTCTGGGCCAAATGCCTTCCCCGGTTGTGTGTTCTAAATAATGTACATTAAAATGTCAAAAATTTAAGAACTACAGAAAGGAAATATTAAGTCAGCCAACAGGTGATTTTTTTAAAAAAGATTAATTTGTTTGAAACACACAGTCACACAGAGGGATAAACATTTTCATCTGCTGGTTTGATCCCCAGCTGACTGAATACCAGTGCTGTGCCAGGCCAGGAGCCAGGAACTTCATCTCGGTTTGCTTTGTGAGAGCCAGGGGTCCAAGTACTTGAGCTGTCCTCCACTGCTTTCCTGGGAGTATTAGCAGGAAGCCAGACTGGAAATAGAGCTGCTGGAACTTGAATTGTCCCCCATGTGGGGTTCTGGCATTGCATGGATTCGAGTTTGGATACTTAGAATGACAGAACAGTTTATAAGTATAAATTAGCTTTGGGGACATAATTGAGATTGTCCCAAGAAAAGATGAAAGATTCAGGTCCAGCTGATGACTCAGTTGGCTAATCCTCCACCGGCAAGTGCTGGGATCCCATGTGGGTGCTGATTCTTGTCTCAACTGCTCCGCTTCCCTTCCAGCTCCCTGCTTATGGCCTAGGAAAGCAGGAGAGGAAGGCTTAGAGGCCTTGGGACCCTGCATCTTTGAGATGGAGGAGACGCCTGGCTTCAGATTAGCTCAGCTCTGGCTGTTGTAGCCATTTGGGGAGTGACCCATTGGATGAAAGATCTTTTTTTGTTTTTAGTTATTTTATTGGAAAGGCAGGTTTACAGAGAGGAGAGACAAAGAGCTTCTTTCTGGTCTCATGCTGGTGCAGAAGGGTCCCAAGGCCATAGCCATCCTTCACTGCTTCCCCAGCCAACAAGCAAGGAGATCAGAAGTGGAGCCCCAGGACCAGAATCAGAACCACTGTGGGATCCGGCACTTGTACCAAGTGCCCCGAGTACAATGGGTACCCCGTTGTACCAAGCCCTAGAAAACCTTTTTTGTCGTCTTTCTGTAAAATCTGTCTTTCCAATAAAAATTAAAAATTCTTTTTGAAAATAAATCTTTAAAAAAAAACCCAAAAAGCATATGCTAAAGACTACAGCCAATGATTGTGCTTCTATGGAAGTTGTTGCAAGGCCAGCTTTGTCTGATTTTTATTGTACTTTTTTTGAGGGTTATTTACATGAAAGGCAGAGTGTGACTGGAAGAGAGATCTTTTCATCTGCTGGTTTACTCCCAGATGGTTGCAGAGGTTTGGAATGGGAGCAGGCAAAAGCCAGGAGAAATTCTGTCTGCTCTCTTGGGTGTGAGGGATCACGTTGCCAGGTGCATTAGAGAGCTGAAACAAAAATGAAGCAGCTGAGACTCTGACTGGTAAAAGATGAGCTGATTTCGTAGGTGCAGCTTAATGTGCTGCACTCCATGGTGGTCTGTGTTGGGTTTAGATAGCTTGCTCAGAGTCTCTTCAAAATAAAAACCTGACTAGTGTGTGGAATAGTTTTGGAAAGCGGTTATACTTTGCTGGGTTATGAATTTCAACTCTGTTGTGCCGCTAAAATATCAGTGATTGGGGAACCTGTGGCCCACATCAAAGATAACTCTCTGTCCTTGAGTCAAAAATATCAAATGGCTATATGTATTTTTAAATTTATGTTGCTTAAAAAGCTGTTTATCTCGAGTTAAACCCTTTGTTGTTTCAGGCCAAAATAATAGCACAGTGGAGCAGTTACCATCAGGCTTTGTACCTGTGTGCCTTTTTGGCTTAGTCACTTGAGAAGGGCAATGCATGGACCTTACAATTACTTCTGCAAGTGTCCTCCCACTGCCCCCACTGCCCAGAGAACAAATAATCGCAGATACCACTGCACACGCTTCTTAGACTTTCCAGCTTTGCGTTCCAGCTGATCATTGCCATTAACTGTTTTCTGGGGTTTGCTATCTTTGACCCCTCAACTACAAAGGGTTTCCAGCTTCAGAGATAATTTTTCTTTTTCCTTTTAATAAGCTTCCCTTATTTTTAAAATTCAAGAAAATTGTAGTGGCATATAAAATATGAACATAGTGTATTCCCATTTTTATTTACACACTTTCTTGGCAGTAAGTACTTTCAGTGTATTGTGTAACTTTCACTGCCATCCATCTCAAAACTTTGACCCTTCCAGATACTCTGATAGTAATTTACCCCCACAACCACCATTCTGTCCCTCTGAATTTTCTTAAAAAGACTTACTGATTTTACTGAAAGTCAAGAGTTAGAAGAGAGAGAAAACAAACTTCCTTCTTCTAGTTCACTCCCCAAATGCCTGCAATGACTGGAGCTGATCTGATCTCATCTAATCTGAAGCCAGGAGTTTGTGGGTGTTCCTCGTGGGTGCAGCATCCCGAAACTTTGGGCTGTCCTCAGCTGCTTTCCCAGGACACAGGCAGGGAGCTGGGTCAGAAGTGGAGCAACTTGGACAGAAGCTGGTACCCATAGGGATGCAGGCATCGCAGGTGGAGGGTTAACACACTGTGCCACTGCACCAGCCCCGCTATCTCTGAATCTAACCACTTGATGAGAAGAATCATAGTATTTGTCCTTGTAGGAATGACTGCCTTCACTTAGTGTCTTCAAAGTTCTCCCTTGTAGTATGTGTGGAAATTTCCCTTCCTTTCTTAAAGCTTAGTCATGTTTCATTGTCTGTAGGCCGTATTTTGTTAATGAGTTCGTCTGTCAGTGGGTATGTGGGTTGCTTTCACTTTTTAGCTGTTGTACATAAAGCTGCTATGAATATAGATGTATAAATGTCTTCATGTTCCTGCTTTCATTCTTCTGGGTATGTACCCAGAAGTGAAATTGCTGAATCATATGGTAATTTCTATTTGATTCTTTTTGATAGCTGCCATAATGTATTCCACGGAAGCTGCGTAATTTTTATTCCCACTGTGAATACACAAGTGAGCTGGTTTCTTCCCATTCTTTTTAGTACCTGTTGTTTTTGTTTTCTTGTAATAGTCATTCTGTTGGATGTGTCTCCTGGTTTGTTGTTTTAGATTATTGGTGATATTGAGCATGTTTATTGACCATTTGTGTATATCTTCTTTAGAAAAATTTCTATTCAGATCCTTCACACATTTATTGGAGTTATTTCTGCATGCTGTATATTAACTCTTTATCATATATAATTTGTAACTGTCCTGTTCTAAGAGATCTGTACTTTCAGCTTTTACATTTAGGTCTTTGGTAAATTTTAGGTTAAATTTGTCATTTTACTTGCGGTGCCTGGTTTTCCTAACACCATTTGTGAATGGGGAAATTTATTTTTTAACAATTTAAGGTAGAGATCCAGGCACTGCTCTCATCAGCTAGCTGGTTCACTCCCAAAATGTGTGCAGCAGCCCGCAGCTGGGAACTTGGAAGCCCAGTCACCTGAGCATTTGCTGGGAGCTGGAGTCCAGAGTTGAAACTGGGAGTCACACTCGGGCATTCAGATGTGGGACTTGGGTGTTCTGTTCAGGTAAACAGCTACCCTGGAAAATCTTTAAATGCAGGCACTCCTGGGATAGATCAGACATTAAATTAGCTTTTAACCCATTAAATACCTTAGCAGAGAATTGAGGACAAATAAAGATCAAAACAAAAACAAACAAACAAAAAAAAAACCCAGAGAAACAGGCATCCTGGACCCTGCACATTGGCTCAGTGACTAACTCCTCTCCTTGCAAGCTCTAGGATCCCATATGGATTTGTTTATTTTATTGGAAGGTGATATTTACAGGGAAAAGGAGAGATGGATAGATCTGTCTGCTGATTCACTCCCAAGTGGCTGCAACACTTGGAGCTGAGCTGATCTGATTCAATCCAAAGCCAGGAGCTTCTTCTGGGTCTCCCCCTTGGCTGCAGGGTCCCAAAGCTTTGGGCCATCCTCTACTGCTTTCCTAGGCCACAGGCATGGAGCTAGAAGGAAAGTGGAGCAGCTGGGATACAACTGGCCCCCTGTGGGATCCTGGCAAGGCAAGGACTTTAGCTGCTAGACTACCGTTCTGGGCCCTAAAGTTTTCAGTTGTTTGGTTCCATATGTTCACATTTCGAAGTTTTACACATTGGCTGCATTACTATGGAATGTATAAACAAACCTTTTGTATCTTTTTGGGAAAAAAAATTTTAACTTTTATTTTTGATGATGTTTGCATAGTTGATCAGGATGGGAAGGATCGAGGGTTGGAGGAAGTGGATGTGATCATTGTTTCCAAACTTTCTATTTCTTTTTCCTGATCTGGGTGAAGGGGTTAGATAAGGGGAGAAGCCATACCCAGTCTCCTAACTGCCCGGTACCCAGGATTGGGGGATGATCACCCCATATCAACACAGGCTCCCCAGTGTGGAGGATGCTCCAAGGGTTCTGCCAAAGTGTTTTTAGTAGTTCTGAAATTCTGTTATCTTGCCAGTCCAAGGTTGAGGAAGCCCTTCCAATGTCCATTGGCTGACACAGTCCATCTTAGAGTCTCCATTTGCCCAAATATTTGCTGTTATCATTTGACTGGGGTAGTTGTCCAGTTTGTCCTGTTCTCCTTCTCTGCTATTGCACCAGATGTGCTCTGTAGTCCCCAGTGGACTGCCGTATCCTCCATGTGCATCTGGACCTGCCATCCACTGCTCCACCTTTTCCACTGAGGAGGCCCAGTTCTGACCCATGTACTCCATGGTCACCAATCCTAGACCACCAATCCTAGATGTCAGACCCCAGGCCCCGACACACCCACCTGTGCCAGACCCTGCACACCAAGTCCCCATAAGTGTGTCACCGGGTGGCCAGTGAGCTGGGGGAAATTTTTTGTATTATGACTTCATATATATTGATCCTACTGTAACCATCCATAAAGATTTTTATATTAACCTTTTGCTGTGAGGCATTCCATAAGTTTTAAATAAGTGGGGGCAAGTAAAGTGAACTTTTAGATTTTGTTTTACCTTCCTGCAGCAGATTAGCTGTTGCGTGTAGTTATTATGTGTGTGTCCTTGGTATGTAACGACTAGAACTCTTGGCCTGATTGTAAGAGGCATGTAGATTCAGAATCTGAAGGGAGAAGCTTCACATTGTAAGTACCACTGGAGCTGGTAACACATTTCTTAAACAAGTCCCCTTTGAGGTGAGGGATGTAGTCTTTACAGGCTGGACAAAATGAATCCTGGGATACAAAATATTTAACAGGAAATGCGGCAGCTCTCCTTGAGCTTCACCATTTGCCTTTTGTCCTCTGAGCGCTTTCCCATGTCACTGACACACTGCTGCTGTTTTGTCTCTAATGAAACTTAGCTCTTAGAGAGAACTTCTGCAGATCTCTTTGACATCTTCTAGGTATGACAGCAAAATTTTATAATTGTTATCGAAGTTTTAGCAAAAGAGAAGCTAAATCCTATAGAATACTGAGAAGGAATTAAAACAAAGTATGTACCATTATGTGTGGAGAAAGTGTCATGCTTTAAGGTAGTGTTAAATAAAATACTCTCCTAAATCATACTAAAAGTTTTGGATTAAGGTGTGTAAAGCTTCATCTGGCAAACCCCTCAGATGGTTACTAAAATTAAAGATGTCTAGAGATGTTTCTGTCCTTTTGTGCAGGATAATACAGTCATTCTGATTAGAAGAGTTTAACTGCAAGGAGCTTCGGTGCTTGCTTTGACTTATGAATTCTTTTATATTGCTTTAGCCACTGAGCCAGCTGCCATTAGAGGAGCTCTCATTGGGTCGCCTTGGAGGTGATCCTGGAGTTGTTACCTATACCTGTACTGTAATCAGTGATCATTTTTTCTGTGTCATGTTGCCTGTGATGTGTGTCTTTATTATTATTTTAATTTGTTTTACGTGTTTGAAAGAGAGGCAGAGGTGTTTTTATCAGTGGTTCACTGTTCAGTTCAGGCAACAGCTGAGAGTGAGCCAAGCCAGAGCCTGGAGCTAGAACTCCACTTTGATCTGCCGTGTGGTAGCAGGAGCCCACGTACTTGAGCCGTCACTTGGTGCCTAGAATGTGTGTTAGTGAGAAGCTGGATTGGAAGTGGAGCTAGCATTTGAACCCAGGAACTCCTGTTTGGAACTGTGGGCATCCCAGGCGGTGACTTAAGTGCTGTTCCAAAGACTTGTACAGTATATTGTTTGAATTGATTTTATAAAGGTTCCCCCCCCCCCCAAATAGGTGAGTTATGCTATGAATAAAACTCTCAAGTATTTGGGAAAGCCAGAGTTTAAGAGCCATAGTATAGGGCAGTTAACGAAAGCAAATGCTTTAATATTAGTTTAAGCAAGTATGACTGTGTTAGCTGAATTTGATGATGTTTTACATAGATGGGTGTTAGGATTGATGTTTCTGTTGACATAATTTTATCATGATGTTTATCTGTAGGAGGATGTTTTAGAAACAGATTTTACTTGTAAAGCATGGGAATGTAAGTTCTTTAAAAAGTTCATTTACTGTACTTTAGGTATTGAGAAGTTGAACATTTGAATTTATTTTGATTTCTTCTCTTTCTTGACATTGAAATTATGTCAGTTAGGAATGCATTGTTATAAAATTGACATATTTTTTCTCCCCTAATACAGAAGCCCCACCATGAGGCGAGGTGGATGGAGGAAGCGAGCTGAAAATGATGGCTGGGAAAAATGGGTGTGTTTCAAAAGAATAAAAATAATTATTTTGAACTGTTTAGGTATTTTTTTTTCTTTTAAGCTTATATAATGGTGTAAAGCATTTTACAAATTGTAAATCACTTTAGATACCAATTCACAATTTCACAGTGTATCAAATGCTGTAACAGTGGTCTTAAGCGTTAATGCACAGATATTACCCTCAGGAGCTTTTTATCCTAGGGTAATAAATATGCTGGAATGCAAAATTTCAGAGTGGAATGACTTTATTGCAGCGTTATTAATAATGCTGAAAAAGTGGAAAACATTAATATCCAGCAATAGGGAACTATTCAGATAAACAAAGGACTAGTCAAATAACTTACTGTGGAACACTGTGCAATTGTTACTTAGCTCTGTATCTATGCAATGTATACAAAGATATTTTTAAAAAGTCAGAATGATAGGGAAAGATCTTCCCTGTGCTGATTCACTTTGTAGCTGGCTGCATCTTGCTCTCCCACGTGGGTAGCAAGATCCCAGATGCTTGGATCATCCTCTGCCTTTTTAACAGGGAACAGAGTTGGAAGTGGAGCAGAATGGGGTTCTGATACTGGATGCTAGCAGCAAAGTTAAACTAGCAGTGCCAATCTCCAGCCATATAATTTCTAAGCTGGACAGAGACCCTTGATTAAAGCAATGTGTTTATAAAGGAATATGATCTTATTTTTGTAAAACTTTTATGCTTGAGACACAGAAATAACTTTTAAAAATATCCCCAAACAATTCATCAGTGGAATCACTTAGGAAGGAATCCCTTCCTACGTTTTCTAAATTTTTTAGAAGAAAGTAATACTTGAATAAACTAAAAAAAAAAAAAAAAACATTTTGGGAAAGTATGGGCCACTTGTAGCCATCCACAACTTTAAATACCTAATGATTCAAATCAATCGAGCTTAATTATGTTAAGATTAGGAAAAATGTAGATGAATTTACTTATTTCAAGGTGTTTAGTAAAAATGATAATTTTTAAATATACCTTGTAAAACTGATATATACAGATAAAAGTTGCTAAACTATCAGTTTAATGAAACCATGAATTTAGCTACTGAGTTATTCATTGTTTTCTTACTGCTTTACTTTAGATAATTCAAGTTAAGCTCCTTGTTTGTGAGAGACGGTAGAAGGCAATCTAGAATGTGTTGTTAGATCACTTGGAAATTAATGACTTGTTTAAACATGACTCTGATTTGCTCAATTATGTAAGAACAGTATTTTGTGGTATTAAATTTATTGTTGATGTTGTTTCCCTCTTTAAAATAAATTTGTCATTAAAAAAATGTAACAATTGTGAAAAATCAAGTTGAGGGAAAGTTTTTCTTGCCATATCTGTTTTGTGTTGTCTTGCCTTGTGGCTTATGGTTAGGTCATTGGGCTACTAACACAGCCTAAGATCCTTCTACTTATTTATTACTTTGAATATGTTTATCCAAAAAGATCAGAAAGGGGGAAGAAAATCTAACCTTTGTGATGAGTTATCTTTGATTTAATTGTAGGGTGGGTATATGGCTGCCAAGGTTCAGAAGTTGGAGGAACAATTCCGATCGGATACTGCTCTGCAGAAGGATGGGGCTTCCTCTTCGATTTTTAGTGGAGTGGCCATCTATGTTAATGGATATACAGGTTGAGTACTTTTTACTTTTAGCTACCTCTTTTGGGCATGTATTCTTGTTAAGATTGGAAATTGGTTGTTTTAAGCTTGTTAATTATGTGTATAAAATAATTTTAAAGTGGTAAAAGCATCCTCTACTTACATGTTCTTCCTCCACTTTTTTTTTGTGATCACATTTCCCTGCCATTATTTCTGTAATTTTGACCTTTTTCAAATAGTGTATTTAAAAGTCAAATGAGGAATGAGCGTTTAGCCTGTTGGTTAAGATCAGCATCCATTTCTAGTGCCTGACTCTAGTTTTTGGCTCTTTATCCTGCCACTGGGGCTGGCTCAAGTAGCTGGTTCCTAATGGTCATGTGGGTGACCCTGGATGTATTTAGATCTTGGCTCTTGGTTTTGGTCTGGCTGTATCTCTGGCCATTGTAGACATGTGGAGAGTAGAACCAGCAGTTGGGAGCTAGCTTGCTTTCTCTGCCTCTGGAAAAAAAATTATCTATATATTTGAAATGAAAAACAGTACTCTGGTTTTAATAGCTGACTGGAAACTTTTTGTAACATGTGAGTGGGGCTTATAAAATGAGCTTCACTATAAAGGATTTGATAGGGCCATCTCATTGATAATACTACAACTGTAATTATCTTTGTTGTTGTTAAGATTTATTTATTTTTATTGGAAAGGCAGATTTATAGAAGGGAGAGACGGAAAGAAAAACTTCTGTTTTCTGATTTACTCCCCAGATGATCAAAATGGCTGGAACTGAGCTTATCCAAAGCCAGGAGCCAGATCTTATTTCTGGTCTCCCACGTGGGTGCAGGGTTCCAGAGCTTTGGGCCATACTATGCTGCTTTCCCAGGCCACAAGCAGGGAGGTGCAAGGGAAGCGGGGCAGCTGGGATATGAACTGCGATTTAGCCACTGAGCCATTGTGCTGGGTTCTGACTATAATTCTTTTTAGATCGTTTGGGATAATCCTTTTGGAGATGTGTGTGTAAGAGAGAGAGATCCCAGAGAAGAATCTTATGATCTGTTGTGTAGCTTCAAGGTGTAGCCTTGCTGCCCTCATTTTGATTGCCAATGTGGACGAACAGGACTAGAATGTTTACAGTGTAGGAGGTTGAATTTTGCCTAATCTCCTAGTTCGTTCTTAGCTCTCCTTGTTATTGCGCCTAGTGTCTGGAAAGGATGGTGTAGTTGGTTTTTTTGTGAATAGGCAAGAAATCTGGATATTCTAATTTACTGCTTACACAGAGTTTCCAGCCATATATTTTCTGTTTAAAAATTTGTCTCTGTTCATTTGGAAGTGCATGGTGCCTGCTTCATGATAGTTCATATTTTTCCTGACACTGTGCATTCATTTTCTGAGTTCCCAAACCAGCCAGCTTGGAATTTATCTTTTTCTGATCTGCAGTCAGTGTGCATTTTTTTCTTTTAAATGGAGAGAAAGAGTTTCCATCCACTGGTTCACTTCCCAGATGGCTGTAAAGGCTAAGATTGGACCAGGTGGAGCCAGCAGCTTCCTCTGGGAAGGGACCCAAAGCCTTGTTGGACCTTTGCTGCCTTTCCGAGGCTGGAGCAGAGATGGAGCATAAGGCTGGCTCCATATACTGACTATTGGTTATCCAATTCACTCTTCAAATGTTTTGCCATTCTCTAATTCCTTTTCTTAAAATCACTTTTTTTAAAATGAATGACTAAATATTTATCCTCAGCTTATCCTTAGGGTTCCCTTGATTGTCTGATTATCATCGTGCTGATTTAGCTAACTGCGTACAGATCTGTATCTCAGTGTTCATGAGGTCTTATAAGATAAGAGTAGGGGTGATCATTTTCATCAGCGTTGTAAAGCTGTTGCTTCTACAATGATGGACATAATCATTCAGATATTTTGCTGAAGTAAAGCTAAAAATTAACTAATACGTATGATTTGTGTGAGACCCGATCATGTTGGTTGTAATTAAGACTTACTTGGCTACTTAACAGTGAATTTAGGAATGTGGTCAAAATGAGTCCTGGTGCAGCTTTGGGAAGGTCACAGCAGAAGCCTTGTAGTTTCTCTTACATATCTTAACTGGTTCAAACTTCAGGTACTTTTCTGATATATCACAAAATATTTAAAATGTGATCAAAAGTAAGCAAACATTGCTTGTTACATCAGCCATTATGGAACTTCCCAATTTACGAGAGTACCCATATTTATATAAGAAGAAAGAAGAGAATTTTTTTTTTTTAAGACTTTTTGTGTTATTTTAGATGATGTTTGCATAGATGATCGAGATGGGAAGGATTGACGGTTAGGGGGAAGTGGGTGTAATCATTATTTCCAAACTTTCTATTTCTTCTTTGCATTTCTGGGGGGAGGGAAGAGGTAAGAGGAGAGGCCATACCCTCCCTCCCAACCATCCCAGTACCCAAGGATGGGGAATGGCCACCCAGTATCAACTCAGGGTCACAATGTGGCTCGTGCGCCGAGGCTTTTGCCTAGGTAGTGGGCGATAGTTCTGAAATGCTGTTGATCTCCCCAATCTTTGGATGAGGAAACCCTTCAAATGTTCATTTGGCTGACACAGTCAACCTTAAGAGTCTCCATTTGCCCAAATATTTGCCGTTATTGTTTGTCTGGGATAGTTGTGCATATGTTCTGTTCTCCTTTCTCTGCTATGGTACCAGATGTCCTCTGCAGACTCCAATGGACTGCCATATCCTCTCTGTGCACCATAGTCTTCCATCCAGTACTCCATCCTTTACATTGAGAGGATCAGTTCTCACAGGTGGGCCTATGGATCCAGGCCAGGCAACCTGAGCCCAGCCAGACTCCCAACCCTAAGACTCATGGACTTGGCACCCACCCTCCAGTTGAGCCCAAGAACCTAAGCCAGGCGACCTGGGCCCCCCTGGGACTCATGGATCCAGCACCCATTGCACAGACTGGCTCAAGGATCCGAGCCAGGAGACTTGGGTCCTGCTGGACTCCCCACCCCCTGGGGCTCACAGATCTAGTACCCACTGCTCCTGGCACACTCCTAGACCTGACCCACATGTATGCTGGCAGGTACTGTAACCTGGCCTCGTTTGGGCTGCTTCTTGCACTTACCTGTAGGGACTGCATCCTGTCAAAGAAGTTTACCAAACTCTTCTATCTGGTCTCCTCCTAGTAGATCTTTCTCACACAGGTGGGTCTTTGGCCCAGGTTGACTTTGTCCACCTCTTGTCCTGGCAGCCCATATCTTGCCCATTCAGCTCATACCCATTCCAGTTCTTAATGTTGGGGTATTGCAGCCAAGCCATACCTGGTCTGTGCCCAGACACAGCTCTCACATCGTTCGACAGGAGCCAGGACCTAGCCCAGCCCATTCGTTTTACACCACCCAGACTCTGAGGAGTACCAGTGAGTGCTGGCATGTAGCCCAGTCTGGCACTCTCCAGATCCAGTCCACACCTGTGCTAAGGGAAACTGCAGCCATGTTCAGCCCGGCTCATTGCCCCCATTCCGACTCTCGCACTTAGCAGTGGGAATTCCAATCCAGCCAGAGTGTTCGTTTAGCTCTCCAAACAGGCCTATTTCCAGCCACAGATCTTGAGCATGCGTTTCAAGTGTGTGTGTGTGTGTGTGTGTGTGTGTATTTGTGTCTATATATATATGGATATGTACATAGGTAATTGTTTATGGATATGTATATATGTGTATATATGCATACATATATATTACTCAGTTCCCCCCAGTGATTATCTTATGGAGGAAGTATCACAACCAGAAAACTGACCTGACCTTGGTAAAGTGAAACTACGAAACATTTCCAGCAAGGATCTGTCCTGTAGAGCTCTTATTGCCATGCCTCCTTTTCTTCTGCTTATGGTCTCTTTTTAATCCTTGGCGACCTCCCAACTAGTCCTCAGTTCTATGATTTATAATTTTGAGAGTGTAAATGAGTGTTGAATAGGAGGCTGGATGTTTAGTGTGCCCGTTTAGAGGCAGCATATGGTACCTCCTGACTGCAGTTTCACACTGGTGTGAACTGGGAAAGGCAGCTTGGTGGCTCAATGGTGGCGCGCGCACGCGCGCACACACACACACACACACACACACACACACACACACACACACACACACACACACGAGAGCGAGATTGTGTTGGCAGCTCCTGCCTCAGCTTGGCCTCCTCCCCCCCAGCTCCTCTTGCTGTCCACATTCTAGCTATTTGAGGAGTGAATCAGTAAATGAGTGTTCTGTCTCTGTCTTACAAATACAGATCTTTAAATGTACAGGTGGAATATACAGTGTGTAACCTTTTGGCATTGGGTTTAAAGCATTTGTTTTAATTTAAAAAGCCTTTTTAACTGACAGATTGGCCTTCTTCCCACTCAGCTTTTCTTCTCGGAATTCTTCAATTAAGTGTATCACTAATTTTTTCCATGTTTTGTTGCTGAGTTGTGTTACATAGCTTGAATGTACTATAACTTAACCATTTAAGGGACGTCTGGGTTTTTTGTTTTTGATTTATAAATATTTGTATATACATTTTTCTTGTGAACGTAAGAGAATAATTGATTTGTCATTTGGTAGATACATCCTTAGTTTCTAGAAAAAACTGCCAAGCGTTTTCCCAAAGTGGATGTGCTGTTTGATATTACCGCTAGCAGGCTTGCTTACATACTAGCATGTTTTTGTTTTATCCATTTTAATCACTGTGTAATGATATCTCATTGTGGCTTTGATGTGTATAGTTGCTCCACATCCTTGTCAGTATTTGTTAAGGTCGGGTTTTGTTTTGTTTTGAGGTTTAGATAGTGTTAAAGATGTGCTTTACATTTGCATTTACATCTTGTCTGTCAATGTTGGACATTTCTTCCTGTGTAGTGTTTTTTTGGGGGGGCGGGGGGCAGGGATATCACTTTTAGTGAATTGCGCATGGGTTATTTTACAATTTTTTATTTCTGTGGCTCATTTATAATTGAGTTGTCTTTACTGCATAATATTTTGGAATTTTAATGCATTCCAGATTCTACTCCTTTG